AATCAAAAACGGTTTTTAAGCTAAATGCTTAATTGATTTTATTTGCCAAACAATACGATGAAACTTATCATACTTTATCCTATCCTGTCTATGCAATGTTGCTGTTGATTTCTAACGGCAAATGTAGAAATAAAAACTTCAAACGACGAAAAGTTAACAATCTAGGGAGATTGAGTATCTCGAAAGAAAATGTCAGTTCTAATGTTAGATTCGAATGCTTCATGCACATTATATTTTGAAATGTCAAAAAGAAAAAGCTAGATGATCGTATCCGAAGAGGATTCTCCATTTGCAAGTCTATTTCAGATCATTCAATTCATTCGATCGCCAATTGATCACCTATTTGACTTGTTTAAAACACAAATTTTCGGATTCCCTAGAAGAAAATGAGAACATGTATCAACTCTGTTGAATTGACAAAGGGTCTCGAAAGAGAAAATTTCTTCGTCAAGAATGTATTTTCAGAATACCGTGTCGCTTTTCTTGTCTACTCTTGTGGATGTGAATATTGATATGAGTGGGTTGAATTATTTCGAAAAATAAATCTGAAACAAAGGTGAAAAATGGTTTCATTTACTAAGAAAATGTGAATGGTACAGATGAACAAACATTTTTTTTTTATACTGCTCAATCTATTTGGAAAAGTTGTGATCCTTGAACAAAGATAAATGAAATTCGCAAACAAATAAACTTGGATTTATATAGTCCAGAATAAGTTGACAGCAAATAATTTTCATATGATCTGTATGTCCAATAATCACTATTGAATGACAGAAGTTGGCCTCTTTTATCCTTGTTTTTTTATTTTATTTCATCAGCAACTGTAGACGATTGTTCGCAGCAAAACGACTGTCTAATTGAAACCACTACTTTGTCATTTTCTCACGAAATTGAGTAAGACTTTTGTGTCATGAATTTTTAGTAAGAAGTTCTTCTGTGATTTACTAACTCACTCCAAATGATCAAGTTTCGAAGATGACTGAAGACGTTCGGCACAACCAACTGAAATTGTTTTCACTTCATGAGGATGAGAAGACTTATACACGTTTGTAGAGAATTAAACTCTGCATCCTCTGAAATCATAACTGAGCGCATATTTTGATTTATTTTATAAAGATAAATTGTCATCTCTATCTTCCACTTCTATTTCCAATCAACCTAGCATATTGCCTCTTGCTGTTATGTTTCCTCTGTTCTATCCTATATTCTTTCTTCTACTTTCTTTTACTTTCGTTCACTTTTCTTGCAGAATGGCGAAGTAAGGAAGCTGTAGAGAGGTGAAAAATTCCAACATGTGAAACAAAACAGAGAAAACGGACTTTTTGTTTAGTAGTCTCTCTCATCACAACTTGGTCATGAATCGACCGTTAAAAATTTTAAGCGAACCTAACCAAAGTCGATAAGTTCTCTTCATTTTGATCTTAAACTTCCATTCCATTTCTTCAAAACATGACTCTCTCAGTCGGACATGTTTTTTTGCATTCACATGATGTGCGTCAGACATGTTAATAAAGAAAAGAAAACCATTTGATGAAAAATCTTACATATTTTATGAAAAAATTATTTATCGTAGAAAATCTAATAATAAGTTTTGCGTCATTGTCTTTTTAGCACTCATTATTAGTTCTACTGATAGCATGGCACAAAAGAATACTGTTTCACGTATTCTCCATCGAACAACAGCTAGAAATTTATCTCAAGCGCCTGAAAACAAAATAAGTAGAACAGCGACGACTCATAAACGATCATTATCGCAAAAGAATACATCGCACAAGTCAAACAAAATTAACCAAAAGAAATCGTCACACAAATCATAACAAAATGATTCACTATTTTTTCCGTTTGATGGAATTGATGATGAACAAATGATGAATGATTTATCTAATGTTGTATTAGAAGAAAAAGAAAATCTAAATGACTCTATTATCATTTGGCTTGAATCTACTGACGATGAGGATGTTGAATCAATATCTCGATTGCGTACAATTGTTATTCGCGTAAAAACATTTAAAAATCTTATTATATACTTCAATGACATCTGTCTGCTTCAAGAAGAGAACATATTTTTTTATCGTATCATCTTCTTTTATTAAAGACATACTACTATATATCGATGAGTTGCCAGAAATACAATTTGTTTATATATATATGGATCAATGGACAAGGCACAAGAACAAAAAATACAAAAGAGACATCCAAAGATACGTGACACTTACCCACAGATGGAAACTTTGATTAATCATCTGACGAACAATGTCATAGGTTATTCTAATATCGTAATACATTTGAGTGTTTACAACAGATAAGAAAGAAAACTCAGTGAAAGATTTAAAAACAGAAAATCCATCGCGAATGTGGTTGAATTTATTAATTGAAATATTACTCCAAATGCCGCAAACGAAAAGTGCAATAGATGAAATGATTGCAGAATGTAAATTGTTTTATGCAGATAAGTCAGTTGAATTGAAGAAAATAGATGATTTTCAGGAAAATTACGTATCAATAAATGCAATCAAATGATATACACACGAATGCTTTGTATTTCGTCAACTAAATAAAGTATGTAGAATACAAAATATTGATGCACTATATAATCTTCGTTTCTTTCTTATGAATCTGCAAAATCAATTGCAAGAATTATTTAGATCACAATTTGATCATACATCGCCAATATTCATCGTTTATCGCAGTCAACTAATAGTTCCAAGCGAATTACACAAGTTAAAGAACAATATTGGTGGACATGTATCGATGAATATGTATTTATCAACAACAAAATCATGAGCAGTAGCTAGTGATTACGCTGTAAATGGTTCTAGTCATTCATTTATTGAATCGATTGTATTTGAAATAGAAGTGAACGTCAAAAAAGCAATTATACCATTTGCGAATATTCAACAAGTCAGTATTATGAAAGATGAAGGTGAAATATTGTTTTCAATTGGAATAATCTTTAAAATTGAATCGATTGAAGAAGTATTGGATAATGTTTGGTTTGTTAAACTCACTTTGAGTAAAGATAAAGATAAAGAATTAAAACGTTTGGAGCATTATTTCCTTAATCAAATCAATGAAACAAGTTATCTTGAAATATTATATAATTTTTTGAATTTGAGTGAAGAATATGACAATACTAGAAAATATCCTGAAAGAATCATAACGTTTAGAGAAAGACTCACATATCTACACCAGTGGCGTAGCCAGCAGGGGGCCAGGGGGAGCTGAGCCCCCCCTACGGACTTTTGAGCCCCTCCTGGCGAAATTTTAGAAAGACATATTCTTTTTATACCAAAATAGATTAGTGTTTGCAATTTTACCTTTTAACATATATATTTAATTTTGTGTAACTCATATGTCGTTGAATAAAAGAAAATACAGTAAATGCGAATACAAGTTTTAATGAGGTTTATTAGGTTATGAGTAGTTTATTTCAGCTTTGCAGGTGGCTGCAGTGATTGGTTTGTATCAGAGTAAAGCGATGTCTGTTGTTGTGAAATCAGAATGAAAGTTCATACGTCTTAGGTAGATTGTATTGATCATTTTTAAAAAATTTTAGCTTTTTCTTAATATATTAAATATTTTATATAAATTATTATTTACAATTATAAAAAAATTTAACATAGTAATGGAGAGTAAAATATATAAATGTAAATATAAATATATAACAATATATATTATAACCAACGTTTCGAACGTAATACGTTTTTTTTAGAGTTAAAAAATTTTGTTCTTGAATGAGAATAAATATGTGGTTGAATCTTCTTCTTTTTATTCTTCTTCTTTGCTCTTTTCTTGCCTATTTGAATTTTTATACTGGAATGGACGAAGAAAATTAATTTTTACAAGCTAGTTCTCTTCGTCCATTCCAGTACATACGTTTAAATAGGCAAGAAAAGAGCAAAAAAGAAGAATAAAAAGAAGAAAGTTCAACCGCATATTTATTCCCATTCAAGAGCAAAATTTTTGTGTACTCAAAAAGTAAGTACACTCTAGAATCGGTCAGTGTGTCCGGCCGAGCGACCGGCCGTTTACGTGATAACTTTTGAAAGCAGAGTTCAATCATGATGAAATTTTCTACACAGTTTTGTCCCAACAATATCTCGGTTTAGTTCGAAGATGAGAATGAGTGTCCGAGCCATTGGTGAGTTATTGTAAAAATAATTATTTTCCCCTATGCTTTCCTATGTGAGGATCAACCAGTCCCTGCTTTTGTAAAAGACTTTCCCGATCATGGTCACATAAAACCCCAATTATTATATACCATTCGACAGAGAATTTCACGAGCTACAAAATGGTATATAAAGCATCAAGAAACAAGGAAGCTAACTCACCTATTGCAAAGATAAATAAACGGAAATCGGTTCTGTTCTTGTCCACGCTCTAATTGATCCACAATTAGAGCTCTATCTTCTGATCGCAAAGGCGATACTCCAGGGTTTTTCGGGATGGAGAACTCGAATTTGTACTCCACTTGCCTCGAAGCTCTATTGATTGAGCACTGACCAATAGAAATCAAGTTATAGGGAAAACGACTTTCTTAGAGTAAATCAAGGCGAAGACCCCGAACACCGACTAATTCAAAGTGAATTAAAACTGAATTAACGAATAAATCGTCTCAAAAAGACGATTTAAATCGAATTAGACCAATCACGTTGCTTAATTCGTTTTATTTTTTTCTGTATGTCCGGGACCAAATAGTTCAAATATGAGCTGTATTCACCTCCAAATCCTATTGGTTGAGCAGTAGCCAATTGAATTCAAGTGTCAATAGAAAAGGTTTGCCCGGCTAATTTTTATATCCAGATATTCTAGGATGACTGATTTGTCTCATTCACTTTTTGAAGTACACATAACTCTCGGATATAAATCCGAGGTTTCCACATTTATTTCATCTATTGTTGTTATTTCAATTGAATGAAGATCGAACATCTTTTGCCATTTTATATTTGTTAGCTCAGCTTATATTTTGAGGAAAGAATCAGAATAACCAAAAATCAACTCTATATTGGGTTTACAGATAAGTTTCATATACCTAAGATGGGTCGAAAATTTTTGAGGGGCTGAGCCCCCCCCTAGCCCAAAATCCTGGCTACGCCACTGATCTACACCTATAATATTTTTTAATCATTAGAAAGAATTATTGCTATATATAGATAATAATGAATATTGATTTTTTTTTTTGGTTTATTGACAAAATTTTTCTGGCAAGTAAAACAACAAAAAAAAGATTGAGAATTCGATATTTTCTTGTTCTAATTTCTTAGTATGTCTCTATAAAGGTCGTTTTTTTGTTTTTACAAGATTGTGAACGATTGTAGCGAGATTTCTTGTGACTTTCATGATGTTTAAAAAATGCTGCATCATTTTCCATCGTCATACATTGATTCGAAAGTTCAGTTAAAGAAGTTATAGAATCTAGTTGACAATATATAATTGATTAATTATATTCATTTATCAATAGACGCTTACTTTCATGTGCAATAATGCGTTTGAAAAAAAGTTCTGGTAAAGAATTTTCATCATCTCTATTATTTATTTCCATTATTTCATCTTGAAGATCAAGATTAATCATTACTATTGGATCACTATCTTGAGAAATGATTTTTGTATGATTATTATTAAGTTGAACTTCATTCGCATGTGTTGATGAGTATCCTAATGAACTATCATATTTAAATATTGTCTTTTTTTGTTGAAGAGATAATATTGAATTATTATCTATAATTAAATGATCAAAATGAATTTCATTTTTTGAATGAGATTGTGAATTAGTTTTTAAATCAAGTGTAGTTGTCGCTGTTGTTTCATATTCCAAAGGAAGAGAAGATTCATCTATAAGCAAAAAAAAGAAAATCGAAAATTTATATATATATAAACAAAATATTTTTTGTTTCAGAAGAGTCTTGTGAGAAAAAAAAAATATATTTAAAGAATTTACCTGTAAGAATATGATTTTGTTGCATTGATGGTGTTAAAGCTGAATTTGAATAATTGAGATGATATTTTTGTTGATGAATTAGTTGATTTTCATTTGAATTATCATCAACAGCTGATAAGACTTGAATACTTCCATCGGGACATAAATGAATCAATCGCTTTGGTTTAAATGGTGGATGAAGTAATAATTGTTTATATAAAGTATTTTCATTTTCTATAAGAAATAAACATATGAAAATAAAATAATATATCAAAATGATATTTTTTTTTTTTTTATAAAGACCTTCGTTTGCATTTAAATTACTACTTAAAATATTTTTATTTGAATAGTGTTCTTTGAGAATATGTGGTGCATTTAACGCAAGTATATGAATAATTTCAGTAATTTGATTAGAATCTGACAGATTGAGTTTATTACAAAGTTCTTGACACAATGTATTGTCATTGGAAAATTGTTGTGTATTTGATTCATCTGATATAACTACTGATTTTGGTTTATTAGGAGTTATTTGTTTAACTGTATCTCTATAGTAAATGTCATAGTTCAAGATTTTTATGTAGAAACAACAAGAAAAAATAAAATATACAATGTAATGTTTTGTGGATCTTGATCAATACTCATTCGTAATATCTATAAAAATAATTGACAAATTAAGATAAGGATCAAAATTTAATTTCTATACTCGTTGATATTTTTCTTGTGCATTTTGAATTGAATCATCAACAAGTATTTGTGCGTCTAATTTCAATTGATTATTATTATCAATTAATTGTTCTGATACTTGTGATGGAGATGAATCATGATCAGGAAATGATAATATAGAATGATTTTGTTCATTATTTTCATTATGTAAAATTGTACCAGTCGATAATGGTTCATCTTCTGGTGAATTTGTTATATGAGATTGAATACTCGGAGATACTAAGTAGAATAAACGAAGAATAATCATTATTTTATTATGATTTTTTCAATGTAATGATGTCAAAATGAAAGAAAAAACAACTTTGATTCACTATAACGATGCATGTCATACATTTGTCAGTAGTTATTCATAGTTTTCAATACAGTTTTGTGAAATTCACATATATTTTTGCAGGAAAGTAGCGAAAGGAAAACAGCAGATTTCATGAGACTTCAATATACTTCACGAGACTTCTAGACTGAAGTCCCTACTGTTTACCTTCTCGGAAAATACTGAGTATAAGTTTTAAGTCGAGGTTTTACGACTTTCCTCCATCTCCTTCTCCACCTACATACCAATCGGGGTCTGAAGGAAAGCCTTTTGAAGTATCATGAAGTCTGCTGTCCTTTCCTCACCAGGACCAGAGATCATTCAGTAAGTTTCCATAGCAACGAAAAAAGGCCCTGAGCGGTTCTAACAACAAGGTTTGGACTATGTTAGAACATTCAAAAAAGCTTTCGTCAACGTTTGAATGACTGAAATGTCTGTGAATGTTCTAAATAGTGCAGTTTCAGATTTCTGCGCTGATAAAAAGATTTATATGCAAGATGTCAAAGACAATAGGTAATAATGCATTGATTTAGTGCAAGTCGCCATATGGTCAACATAAAACATGTGAATTAATTAAGCTATAACATCGGGGAAACAATCAATATCAGTCTTTCTAAACTTATCAAGATATATAATAGTACATCAAGATCTGCTGTAGGTACAATGAATATGTACAACAAACTTCTTTGCCAATTAAATCCATGATTAGCATAATAATAATAAATCTACACTAAAAAAAAAACAACGAACAAATTTCTAGAAGGCAAACAAACACTAGAGAGCCAGTAAGAAAAATTCTATTCGAAATGTAGAAATACATAAGACAGATCGTGTCTCCGGTGACCGATTATCCTTGGAGAACAACTGTAGTCTACTATAGGTTTTTCACTTATTATATCTTTTTGTATTAGCATATTGAGACTAAAGAACACATGTGGGTACCATATTTTCGCTCTAAAGAAATTGTGTTGACAAGCTTTTATCTCGAATTATTTCTTCTTATGATAACCAGATATATTAGTAATATGACAATATGATATCAGTTCTGATATCTAACATATGAAATTATCATTAAAGATAAAAAAAAACAAAAAAAGCAAAATCAAAGAAAACAAAATTCATTTGAAAGACATGCCTGAATATGGAGTAGGTTGACTTTCACTTATTTCTTCGATTTGTGGAGATTGTTTCGATTTTTGAGAAAATTCTCTTTCATTATTTAATTGTTTTTGTGGTATAGATGGTGGAAAATAATGTTCTGAACGATGACAATGTCCATGCGAAAAGAATAATGGTCGATAATGTTCATAAAACATTCTATGATTCATACATCTTAATGGTTCATATGAATGACGACAAAGTCTATCAGTTAATTGATCACGTAAATTATTTTTTGTTGTCATATTTTGACAATGTGATGAATGTACAGGTGCTACAATAATATGTGAATTAAGTACTCCTAAAGTATTATTTAGATATTTTTGTTCAATTGAAGATGTATGATTTGATTGTGCTCGATTTAAATTTTGATTTGATATTGAACGAACAGTTATACGTGTTTTATTTGAAAGTAAATTTATATTTGATGATATTTTTTCACTAAAAATTTAGATTATAAAAAAAAAAAAAACAAAATCAAAAATCTATCAAATAAAAATTATTTTAATCTACCGTGAATTACTTTTCAATAATTGATTATGATATTTTTCTTGATTATTTGTTTCAATCATTGATAAATGATGACGTGGTAGTTTTCGATAGATTTTTTCAGAAGAATTTTCTTTTGCAGAATTATTAAGAGACATAACATCTAAACTATTATTAGTTTTCATAAAATCATTTCGATCATAATGTATTTCATCTTTAGCAAATAATAAAACTTGCCAAAGTGTTATAAAAAAAAGTTCATATATGAATTTTATACACCATATAGAACTTTTGTATATAGTAATAAAACTATCTGTTAAACAATCAATATTATTATTATCTAAACTGAATGATTAAAAAAGAATAATTTAATGATTTTTTTTTATTCTAAAAAAACAATAAAAAATTTTACTAATGATTTTTTTTCTTTTGAGATGATCGTTGTAAAATAATTAATTTATTATTTTTAGTTTGTTCATTATCATATTTCATGATTTCTTCTTGATTATCAATATAAAAATTTATTTTCAATTATTATTATTATTCTTGTTTAATAATCATTATTATGGAAAATGAGGAAAAAAAAATAAGAAACGTAATTTTTTAAATAGTCTATTCAAGAATAAATTCGAGAACCGTTTATGTTGATTTTGTATTAGAAAATAGAGAATTTTTGTTGTACTCGCGCTTTTCTTAGAAACGAAATTAATTGATTTTATGTTTTAAATCGATTATAAAGATGGCGCTTTTTGTTTATTTGAAATCTTCTCTTTCTCTTTATAGATAGATATCGATTGATTTAAAAGAATCAAAAAGATAAACGAATATACATTGGTATTAAACAATCTTCTAAGTTTCCCTTTTTGAAAAATGTCTTATATTAATCAACGAAAACATCGTTCACATTTTCATAAAGTTAAACGACTTAATAATATTAATCGACATGATGAAAAAATGATGATTGTAAGATTATAAAAAAAATTTTTTTTTTTAATCAATCTATTCAAATGTTTTTCTTTCTTTTAGACTAATCTTCCTTTTAATATTATTGGTAAAACATCAAAATATACGAAATTTTTTGATTATCCTTTATCGGAATTATTTGTTGATCATTCAACAGATCCATTAGAAAATACAACACGACAATATATTCATACATCATCAAATATTTCAAATGAAGGTCGTTTTAAAAATCATGAAATGATTATACGTCGAAATGGTGAAACAACTATACTTCGACCTAAACAAGATTTAGTCCTTGTTAATGGATTTACACCAGTTATACGACCTTCTACTATATTACCATCATATCAATCAATGATGTCTCATACTCAAGTAGCATCATCTTTATCAATTATGAATAAAATGTCAATAAAGAAACCTGAACAAACATCGATAATTAAAAGCAAACGAAAGAATCGACGTAGACGAAAACGTTTGCATGAAAAATTTGTTGAGCAAAATAATATACAGAATTATAATGTAAATTTAATCTTGAATAAAAATTATTATTTTATGAGGAATAGAAAAAAAAAACAATTTATTTTTTAATCTAGTTTTCAAATGAATTTGATCAAAATAATTCACAAGAATCAACTTTTATTAATCTAGTTCAACAAGCTCTACATGAAATTATTGACGACGTATATAAAAATTTTTCTTTTTTTTTTTTATAAATTATATTTAAATTTATTCTTGAAGAAATCTCTTCCACCTCAACCAGTACCACTTATGTCAATTCTGCCTAAATTTCATGATCCATATCCAAATTATAACGTAATTTTATCTTTTAAAAAAAAATAATATTTATTTTTGAAATTTAGAATCAATCATCATATTCTAATCAAGAACAATTTATACCACCATTAAGTTTAGTACCAACCAATAGTTATAGTGAATCTTCTTATAATTTTCCTCAAGAACAAAATCATTCGTCATATTTTGCTTTTTCACAACATGAACATGTTTGTTTACGTTCATCAATGTCTCATCACAAAAGTTCTACTCATATGACTGATTATTTTTTTTAATTAAAAACAAACATTTCATAACAACTTAGAAATGTATACATATATGTGTAGATTTATTTTTGTGTTTATTATTTTATTTAACCTTTTGTATTCACATTCTCTCATCTTGTTTTTCTTCTTTTTGTTTTGTTTTTCTTGTCTATTCAACTAACTAAGACTATATCTACTAATATTTTTCTTCTGTTATGAAACTGCCATCGATTGGATGAATGATGGGGAGAAAAAAAACCTAATATAAAGCTGTTATTGTTGTTGACATCAACTGTTATCAGTCTTATCCATGTAAATAGATGGGAATGGGCCAGACAGATCTCTTTTTCCCAGTGATTATTATTTCTATGGGATATGAAAGAATGTCGGCATGCATTTGCTTATTTATGTCGATGATATACAAGCATATGCACACCGATAATTATCGAACAAACAATATAGTGTTGAAAAAAAAGGTCATACTTTATCATGTTCGAAAAAAAAAAGAAAACTTATTATACAGTGCACGCAGTCCAATATGTGTTTATATACTTTAAAAAAAAGTTTAATTGATGACAAAGGTAGCATCAGCAACACTTGAACATGAAAAGATTGGAAAAAAAAAGAAGTGCAAAGAAAAAAAGAGACAGAAAAACGTATTAGTAATCTAATTTATCAAAAGTATCTAGAAAGAAAGAGCGAGAGCGAGAACACCCATTTAACATAATTACTTCGTTTGCATTGTTATTGCTGTTGTTTGTTTTTTCCTCCCTTATGTTTTTTTTCTTCAATAAACCGATATAGAATTAAAATCTCGCATTATGAATATCAAAATTGACAAACGAAAAGAAGAGGAAGGGAAGATTATAGAAAAAACAAACAGGTTTTTCAAAGAAAGGCTTTTACTAAAGGTAATCATATCTTGAAATCAATGAAAGATAAAAACATTTTGTTTCTTTGTTAATACATGAGAGAAAACGGACTTGGATGTTAAACTATAATCAATTTCATTTATTCTTGTTGAGAAACACCGGGTGGTGCAGCATAATTTGGTCTGTTTCTATTATAAAAAATAAAAGATTTTTAATTAATTAATCAATCAACAAAAAAAAAATTAAATATTTACGTCATCTCAGATCCACTCTTGTTTCCCAAATGTTCACCAGTATCCATACCTAATGTACCAGCTCCTTGTCCGAAACCATAACCTTTCGGTCTAAAAATAAATTTTATTGTCTTTATTCTTTGTTACTTTTTGAAAACTTACCCAAATTTACGTCCGTAACATTGTTTACAATAAATATTACCTTCATGTTCAGCCAGGGTCATAGCTTCTAACATTTTCTTACAAAGACCTTTTATTAAAACATATAATTTCATCAATCTATATTAAAAATCATATTTTAATTATTCAACATACCACATTTGAAGCACATCTTGTGCCATTTTTTTCCAGCGGCTGGAACTTCTTCAGCAGCATAGACACTTTGATTGCATTTTGGGCCTATAGAAAAAAAAAAATAAAAGTTAAGTGTTTTTAAAAGGAAAATATTTTGCTTTTCTTTTTTTTTTTTTTAATGAACTTACATTTGGAAGTTTCTGGTGGTTTGAATGGCATGATTCAATTACAAATTACGAATTAGAAATTAATAAAAATAATAAAATCTGAAATAAATTATTTTATATACGATAAATAATGATTAGAATTTTAGTCACACTCATCTTGAATAGCATATAAAATTAAAAGAAAAAATAAAAGATGCAAAAAAAAAAAAAACCATAAATATATATTTCGAAACATGTCTATTAAATCATGATTATTAATTTAGTTTAGTGTTGTTGACCAGCACCAGGTGGTGGAGCATAAGTTGGTTTGTTTCTATTATGAAATTTTACATTAAAAAATTCGACAGAAAAAAAAATCTATTATTCTTACGACATTTCTGAACCAGATACATTTCCAAGATGTTCACCAGTATCCATACCAAGAGCACCTGCTCCACCGCCAAAGCCAACACCTTTTGGACCCTTTAATTCAAAGAATTATTTCGTAGAATAGTAATCATATCAATAAAATTTACTTACAAATTTACGAGCATAACATTGTTTACAGAATAAATTGCCTTCATGTTCAGCAAGTGTTGTTGATTCAAGCATTTTTTTGCATAAACCTAGTTTTGTTTTCAGAAAAACAAACAAAAAGAATTAAATCATTTTATGAATAATCACAAGAATAAAAAGAAAAATAATATATTAAGGAAAGAAAAGGTATAGCATAAGATCGACGCCTTACCACATTTAAAACATGTTTTGTGCCATTTTTTACCCGCTGCTTGTACTTCTTCAGCGTGATAAACAGGCTGATTACATTTTGGACAACGAACAATTTGAACTGAGAATGGCATCTGAAAGGGACGATAAGCCTAATGGAATCAAGCAGGAACATGGGTTTAAATAGAATTTTGTGAAAATAGAAATTGATTGAAAAGGAAATACTAAGGTGAATAGATGTCATGTGATAAAGGTGATTTTGTTTTTCTCTCGTGTAAAATATATATGTATGTACCGCATTTAAAGCACATTTTGTGAAATTTTTTGCCAGCTGCTGGAACTTCTTCGGCTGCATAGACATTTTGGTTACATTTTGGACATTTGACTACTTCAGGAGGTTTGAACGGCATGGTTCGATTATGAAATTTTTCTATCGAAAATATACAAATATTCTCTACCTACAATAAATTTTATTCAATGAACTCTATGCTCTAATTGCACCTATTTAAATCAAAAGACTACGAGGATAGACTACCTACTTGCTCAAACTTTTCCTTCTATCTAAAGAATACAGAGACAACACAATTGTTTTCTTGATCTCTCTTTTTTTTTCTTCTTGCTCTCTATTGGGAACTATTCCATATCTCTAAAAAACAAAACAATCAATATCATACATAACATCTCTCACAGATCTGTCTGTAGAAAATGATTGTTGCCAGCATCACCCTTTAGACGAGAAGAAAGATATTGTGTAAATATGCATCGTGTTGAATATAGGGCGTGTATGTAGATGTAATAAACAGAGAAAAATAGAATAGAACGAACGAACGAACGAACGATACCATCACTGTTACTATACAATTTCTTTCACAGAAATATGTATCGCAGATAGCTATAAAAGAAAAAAAGCAGATATCAGAAGCTTCTGAGATATATCGGTATTTTTCTGTGTAAATTCGTTCTGTACATGTGTAGACATAGATAATATAGAGAAAGAAAAGTAATAGCAAGATGAAATCCTAACCCAAATGTTCCTCCCAAATATGGCATACTCAGTTGATCGAGACAACGACCATTTGCCATTCGTATAACCTCTCTCTCGTTTTTTTTTCTTCTATTCTTTACTAACCGTTGGTAGGATATGTTTCATGTTCTATAGTTAATTTTGCATATATTTCCTTCTTCGTTCTATCAGACAATTATATTCTCCTTCGCCGTTTTTTTTTCGTGCCTACTCCTTTCTCACCAATGACATTCTTGTTATCAATCACGTCTCATACAAAGAAAAGAACCATATCAAGCAAATGTTAATGGTAATAAGGACAATTTCTCCGTTTTTGTTTCTAACACTAACATACCAGTAAACAAAAGAAAAAAAACCGAGAAAAACAACAAAACTACAACAGATACATATTTATTATTGATGTTTAAGTCATGAAACAACACTTTTCTATCCAATCACATTCTGATCTATGTTATGCTTACGATTGCACATTCAAGGCTTCAAATGGTTTCTCTTTATATATAAGTGTTAATTGTAGAAAAAGCCTACAGGAAAAGAAAAACATAATATACATACACACACCCCCATCTAAATTTAGATCGTTCTGTAGCATTAAATAACCAAGACAGACTAACTGTTACTAGATATATTTTTATTATGATTAAACATATAAAACATTTGCAGACTTTTGATTGTATAGATTTCATATTAAATATGTATATAGAATAGAGAATAAATTTTTATTTAACATAATGAAAATTAACATCAAGTAAAAAATGGAAACAAAAAAAAAAGAAAGACAAGAACAATCAATGAGAAAGAGAATTTCGATGATTGCATGGAAGTTGTTCATGATTTTGATATCGAATACCCATTGATGATGAAATATCACTATCGAAATGACAAAAATATCTAAAAACAAATAATATAGACAAGTCAACCAATAATGTCAAACTATCATTTATGTGTCGTATTTTGAGTCATAACAAATGATTTCTATGGAATATTTCATCTACTAATAATCAAGAATATGTTTCATTCTGTTTTTCCAATATAAAATAATTAAATATCTTTTTTTCTATTAAAATAAAAAACAACATTTTACAGTCCAAGACAACAGAATCGTCCACTTTTGACATTTGTTATCGACAAAGCCAGGTCAAAGTCCATCACATTTATATGGTTACATTCTTTCAAGCAAAAAAACATTCCTTCACTGATAATTGCTTTTGAGGCGAGATTATGTGTATCATGTGGATTGTAATGAGTTATACATCGGGTATGGCAAAAGTTTTGCGTGTAACTCTGCTTAAGAACATCAGAAAACGTTAATCGTTTTTTTTTTCAAAAAATACATTCTTGAATGTTCTATTCGAATCACAAGACTAAAACTTTATCGGTATTTTCGGACTTTTATTAGACTAATAATATTGAAGACGTGTGTCATCGTTTTATAATATTTCTTCATTAGATCAGTGTTAATTTCTCCTGAACAAATTTTAATCTTCTGCAGTTGAAGCCAAGTTCTCATTGTATTGTTTTATGCATCGAGTTCACTATGTTCACACGATGTATTTGAGACCAATGCAGCAAGAAACGTTTTATTTTAGGACAGAGAGCATCCACACCAATTGACAAAAATATTATTTTTTCAAGTGTTTTTGAAATGAGGCTATATAATAATCTTCATGCCTTGAAGGCTACACTAGGTCTCTGATTGGTTTCAAACATTATAGACAAAATGAATGAACAATAATTATCAAAACCAAAATTCAACAATTTTCAGCTTTCTCTTATTCTTCATTTGTAGGAAATAACATGATATTACACTTATTCAATGTTAGCAGTCTATTAAAATTTCTAAAATAATAATCAAGATTTAGCCTTGTGATCCGAATAGAACATTGCTGAACAGAGTAGCATGCAAAACAAAAAATTTCGCAGACCTCTTACTACACCTTAAAAAAAGTTCAGATTCGTAGAATATTGGTGCGGAAATACTGCATTTTTTCACAACTAGTATCGGTCTAAATATGCCAGAGTAGACCAGATCAGCCGGTAACCAATACCGATTTCAACTGTGTCGTAGTTCCCTTAAGCACTATCAGAAATATTCATTTTCGAATTTCCACTTGAAATTTTGTCTAAAGACAGATCTTAACGAGCACAGTTTATCGTGAAAGCTTATCTTTGCAATCCTTCATATACACTGGCAGATTCGATAGTCCTATTTTAGGATAAGAACTCGAAAAACAATTTTTCGTAGTATTCTAAAGAGAGGCCACAGAATTGATTTAAAAAATATCGTAAAAATATAATACTTTAGCAGCAATCAGCTAAAACCCCAAAGTCATTTCAGGATATTTATGCTAGAATAGGATCTACATGATGCACATAGTCTTGATTCGAAAGCAATTAATCAGTTGAAGGACTTATCTTGTAAGAATGAGTATAATTCTAAATAATATTTACTTATGTATATCAGCAGATTTCATAGGTGAACTTGTACATAAATTTTCATTGAGATCAATTGATTGACGCATTTGACTTTCATCATCTGTTGATAATCCATCTATAAATATTGGAATATGTCTCTAAAGATAAAAAAAAAAACAAATGATTTATTTAGTAACAAAAAAAAACACATTGGAAAAAATTTATACAATTTCTTTCTTCATTGAAGATGCAATCACTTGATTTCTTGATCGAAGTTCCTTTATTTAAAAAAGAAAAACAAAAAAATAGGTATACTATCAATTTATTTAATTTTCACTTCAATTTCATTTAATTGTGCATTCATTCGTTGTTTTGAAATCATTAATGCTTGTTCAAGACATTCAATTTTTTTATATAAATTATAAATAATTGTATTTTTATCTGTTATTTCCATTTGTAATTTATTCATTTCACGTTTAGAATGAAGAATATTTTCATTATATTGATATATTTGTATAGATAAATCATTAACATTCTAAAACAAACGAAAAATGAAATCATTATGAAAAAAATAATTTTAATCAAATACATTGGTTTTATTTTCTTTTTTTAATTGATTTATTTCATTTGTTAATTGCTGAATTTTTTCTTCTAAAATTTTTTTATGATAACTTGAATAACTAGAAAATAAATTTAGATGTATATATATATTATCATTTTTCTAGAAAACTACTTAATTAGTTTATTAGCTTGATCAATATTTATGTCAAGTTCATTACGAATAAGTTTTTCATAATCAATATTATCCAATTCTCTAATATAAAAGAAGTTTTTATTACAAAAAAAAAAAAACATATAAAAAGTTCAAAAATAAATACTTGATTTCAGATATTGGACTATCTATTATTTTTGCTTCAATTAAACGTACTTTAAGAATTTCTTTTTCTGTTTGTAAACGTTGTAATTCTAATCGAAGTAAATTACATTGTTGTTCACTATTATTTAATGATAAACGAAGTTTATCTATTTCATCAGACTAAATTAAAAACAATTCATCATAATTGGAGAAATATTGACTAAAAGCCATCCCGTAGTTTTTGGACCGCTTCTGGTTCTCGATAAGGATGCAACCAAATAGTCTGGAATTGCTACTACAGATAGAGCATCTGAAATAAGCAGATACATGTTCGAGGAAAAAAATTCTAAAGAGACTTATACGGAGAAAACCTAGTTTTCCATGGAACTGCATCCTAGTGCATTATGATCCTTATCAGATTTTTTTTTTGAAAGTCTCCCTTACTAGTTTTTTTATGAGAAAAATACACAGAGATTCGGAGTGGTGTCCTGGACGAGTAGGATCTTTCGCCACCGAACTCAGGTCGGAGCTAATCGATATCCGACAGATACTTTCACAGTTACAGTACGGTTTTCAAACTTTTATTTTATATGAAAAAGTATACTATTTTGTTTCTTCCATAAACAGCAACAAAAGAAAGAGATCATCTCAAATTTCACAATAAAGAAAATGAATCACTTGGTATCTTACTGTTTCTAAAACCTGATCAATTTCGCTAAGTATACGTTTTCTTGTTACTGATATTCCTGGAATGGAATGTAAACTTGGTGACGAAGATCATAATTGTGGATACATATATAAATGCTTTTCTCATCACGATGATAAATATATTCACTTTTTTTGATAACTATTTACCATCCCATGGATTCAGTTACTTCGTCATGTTTTATTATCATCCGAGACCATATACTGGACTCGAATCAACAGTTTTGTTATACTTCGAATCCGATCCAGTTAAAGGACACTAGTTCGGAGCTAAAATCAGGAAACTGTCTCTTAGAATCTTATAAATTCTGACACGAAAGTCAACATGTCAGGCGCGGTTGTAAACTGTAGGATTTCTACGTAAAACTTTCTTTGAAATCTTTTTCTCGAAACACATGTCTCCTTAATTT